GGTGGGGTTTTTATTTGTCATACCTTGGGCTGGAAACCCCCGGGGTTTCCCGGGTTTGGCGTGTTGTGCCCAGGGGGGGGCCCCAAAGGGTGGTTTTCCCTCTTACCATTTGGGGATCAGCACGCCCAGTAGGGTTCCGGTTGGTTTTCCCCATTCCGGGACAGATAAAAGGGGGTGAAATTGGTCGGGATTTCACCAACAAAAATAGCCTTTTCCCCCCCGATAATGCCCCGCCCGGGCGCCCCGCCTTTTTCCTTACCCACCCCCGGAGGGGGCAACGGGCCCAAGAAGGGGGGGGTCCCCCCCTCCGTTTCCCCCCCCGGGGAGGCGGATTTTGGGAACCCGGGGGAATCCCCCCCTAACGCCCCGGGGGGGTTGTTTTTTCCCGAAAGTTTGGGGGGGGGGGGGGAATGGGGGGGGGGGAAGGGGGTTGTTCGGTGGAAGGATTGGTTTTTGGGGCCCGGGGGTTTTTTGGAAAACAAACCCGGGCCCATCCTTAGGGGTTGTGGGGGGGGGGGGGGGGGGGCTAGAACAAGGCGCGCAAAAATATGCGCCCATGGAGGAAATCATACATGCGGATGTGGACGGTGCCAATAGATATCCACATCCTGACACCACGGATGAAGACGGCACCACGACAAAGAGCCTATCGGAAAAAAGTGCTACTTAGTACCGTGTACGTAAGATCGTCCTCACTCACCTTTTGGTCATGACCCGCGTCTTGACGGTGTCGACCGGCTGCGTGGCCAAAGCCCCGGCAGCCGAGGAGGCCGCCCCCAGGGCGGCATCCGCCCAAAGCTCCGAGCTGCCAAGGGAAGCCTTCAGGCACTGATGACGAACGGAAACATTGACCGCCGAAGGGCAGGTTGTGTGTGGGCACGGAGGGCGGAGACAGCGATGGCGAATGCGTGTGGGGGGGGAGGGGGGGGGGCGTTGAACGGGATGAAGACATGGGAGTGCAGGGTCAAGGAAGCGGCGTTATCGGGAGGGGGTCGTATGGATACTACTCTGGCCGAGGGCACGGGAGGGAGAGAGAGAACAGCACCCGATACCAGCTAGGCTAGTAGTCGCGAAAGCGGTGGCGTTTCCCTAGAGAGTTAGTTCTGCGGGAAAGCCGTGAGCGCCACTAGAAAACTTCTTCGTGTTTTCTGACCTGAGTCTGGCTAAGGCGTGCGGCAGCTTCACGCCGACTCGAAGCCAAAAACATCGAACTCGGCTTTGTAGGGAGAGACCAAGAGAGAGTCGACGGTTGTACAACAAAAAACTCTTTGCGTGCGCTACGCGAGTGCGCGTGCAGGTGGCTTGCCAGCGCGTCAAGCGAGAACGCACCTCGTACACCGTGAACTGGACCGCGTTGAACGGGATCTCCCTCAGGAGCTGCTCCTTTCCGCCCACGAAGAGCCCCTTCACCCCTTCCGCCCTCACGATAGAGAGAAACGCCTGCAGAGAGTTTCCGCTCTCCCGCCCGACCTGAGCAACGTTTTCACGTTCGTGTGGAAAAAAGGTGTGTGCGTGTGGGAGTTGTGTGGAAGAGGCATGCAACGTGACGCGGCTCGTGGTCGGGCGCGCGGCTTGCCTACATCGCCAACCAAAGCCGGCTCTTGTGTGAGCCTAGCTCGCCTACTTCATTAGTAACTCCGTCAGGAAGACACCCAACCCAGACAAATCCAAAACAACGACCCATATGACCTACCTTCCAAACTCTGGCGTTTCGAACCACAAACTTCCCACCCACTCCATACAACACAACTCGGGCTCAACTACCCAAAACGCACTCCATCTCACCCCCCAGCGGCGGCCTCTGCCTCCCTTACACCTCGCTCCATTCTACCTTCCGGCGACACACCTGGAGTCTCTGCTTCACCACCTCTGCGGGCGTCCGCACGAGGTTGGCCGGGACAGTGGCTACGGAGGACGCCCCGAGATGGAGCGCGGTCGGCCACAAGGAGGACGAAGGGGAAGGAGAGATGCCGCCGCTGCCGTCTCCGCCGAGAATGGCGGCCGCCCCGATCGCGTTGAGCGAATCGTAGAAGAGAAAAAAGGCGGCGTTCGAGGGTCCCGCCTGAGCACGACCGTGTGTCCCCGTACCGTAAAAAAAGTGGTACACGGTATGTGGCGGAAAAGGAGCGCGGGATGCGAGCCGACGCGGTGCTGCGATTGTTGAAAGTAGTCCGAAGGAAGAACGACGCTTCACGCAAAAGCAGCTTTCGACAACCGTTCGTCGACAATCATAAACAGACTGCACCGATTGGTCGGGATTGACATCAAAGTATCACCGTGCAAGCGGGGTCCCTCCCGCAACGTGAACTGTCCGAAACGGACGGAAGCGACCAGGCGCATGGAGAAGCGCGGCCCGAACAGAGCGGTGTTGTTCGGGAGCCACACACTTGGACGAAATGTCGCCAAATAGTCCGGTGACTACCCTACTTACCCTTACAAACACTTTTAGGGACACGACAACGTGCAAACACAACCACGCACAAACACGGACGCATCTCCATCGGCCAGCCAGTTGGCGCGGCCGACGCTAAGAAACACACGCACCTGGGCTAGAAACGCCGAGAAGCCCTTGAAAACGCCCTTGAAAGTGGCCGGCCCGTCAACTAACCGGCGCATCTCCTGAGCCGGCGGGGAAACGAGGGACGACAAGGGAATAGCCGCATCCGCAGAGGAACAATAGGGAGCAACGAGCAAAGGTCAAACAAGCACTAGCAACTACTTTTGCCTGCGATGTCTACCTACTGTTGTCGTTTCCGGCGTGAAGGAGTGATACGGCAGTCTGGCTGCAATGTCCGGTCCGATTTCTGGACATGAAGCGACAGCAACACCAGAAAGAGCATGCTAGAGGAACACACCGACCTAAAGAGGAGTTCCAAAAGTGCACCGTCGAAAACCTAGAGATGCTCAACCACAACATACGACCCACACGTACACATCCCGCACCGCTGCGCGGCGAAATTGTGGAGAGAGAAACTAGGCTTGTGTTCCGTCGGCAATTTTTTTTTTATTATCGACGATTTAGATACAACAACTTTTGGCCCACACTAAGCTCAGCACAACAAGGCAATCACCGACGTAGCACCAAGCTCAAGAGACACACAAGCGAAACGCCGCGCGAACCCAAAGGCGCACCGTCGGCAGCAGCGCCCGGTCATCCGCCCCGAGCCTCGAGAGCTGGCTCCTGGTCTTGATCGTGTCCAGGGGAAACGTCAGCGTCCTGCTCGCGGCCCGCGTGAACCCGGCCCCCAGTCCCGTGGCAACGCTCCTCAGGGGGGTGAGGTGCACCTGCCCGGCGCCGTCCGCGGCGGCGTGCGGGGGAAAGTGCGGCGCGGCGCCTCCGGCCTGAAAAAATAAAGGCGGGGGGGAAGGCGGCGACGGGGTTGGCCGGGGGGGGGGGGGGGGCGACCCCATGTGAATTAGGGGTTCCCGGGTTGGGGAACAACCCGAAAAAAAATCTTTAGCCAAATATCAGTGTACGGGATACAACCATGAAAACGATAGCCCCGGTATTTTCCCGCACAAAAAATGGGGGGGTTGGGATGTTTCCCGAAAACCCCCCCAGTTTTTTTTCCCAAGGAAACCCCCCAAACCGGGGTCGTAATCCAAGGCCAGGGGAGCCCCCCCCCCCAAGGGGCCCAGTATCGAAAGCTGCCTCATCAAGACCATCAGGGCCCCGGAACCCCCCCGGGAAAGGCCTCCGGAAAGGTCCTCCCCCCCCTCTCCCCCCGGGGAA